AATTTCAAAGAGCCGGCAGGGATTTGGGTGAATCGAATGCAGAAGCTACAGCCGTAATCAAACCTCATTAGAGGTTATTCTTCCAGCAGGTTTTCTGCGCTCTCCTGCCTCCCACCCTGATTAGAGGGCTGGTGGTTGTGTTTGTGTGTGTTTTCTGTGGGACTCCCGTGGTGAACGGTCCCCTCCCACATCCTCTGGTGGAAGCTGTAGCCTTCTTCCCCTCCCCGACCCCAGCTCCCAGCAGGCAGTGACAGTGGGCTTGGGGCTGTGTGTTGGGGTTCCTCTCCCCACCTTATACTAGTTGCCATGGTGAGAATTAAGGCTTCATAAATACGGTAGCTCCGGGCAAAGTTCCCTTGCAGGAGAGTCTGCATCCTGCATAGAAGGGGTGGCTCACCGGAAACTTGGTCCTCCTGAGGGGGTGGTTCACAGAACCTCTCCCAGTACCCACTCTGAACCCTCTCTGCAACATACGTGGTGCTCTGGGCATCCCATGGTGGCTGATGTGGCCCCGGCAGGTTTCTGAGAAACGGCGTGGTATGGAGGTTTCCAGGAGAAGCAGGATCTCCAGCCTTCTCAATCAGGTGTGGGACCTGGAGTTACCATTGAAACCCAATCCTCGCTCCTGGGTAGCGGCCCCCAGCACAGGAGGGGCGACTGGAGTCTGTTTCAATTCAGAAGTCATTAATGATGCAGAAAATATTAAATAGTAATAATTGCTATCATTTATCGTCACGTGATGCCAAATATTATGCTAAATACTTTATATGCATTTTCTCCTTTAATTTTCTCAATACCACTGTGAAGTAAGTACTACCAAGATCATCCTTGGTTTATAGATGGGGTACTTTGCTGCACAGAGCTGTAACGCAACTTGCCTGAGGTTACACAGCTTGTAGGAAGTAGCTGCTAGACTACAAGCTTCGGGAGGGCAGAACTCATTCGTCTCTGTTCACCATCACCTGCCCGGTGCCAGCACACAGCAGGTGTGCCATGAACATCTCTTGGTGATGGGCCAAGGTGTGCTGGACTCTGACAAGATGGAGAGCAGTTAACAAGGATCCCACTCTGGGATGTTACCTTTTAGTGCTGTGGTCCCCAGCCCCCAGGCCTCAGACCAGTACTGGTCTGTAGGCTCTAGGAACCGGGCAGCACAGCAGGAGGTGAGCAGTTGACCAGCGAGCAAAGCTTTATCTGTATTTACAGCCACTCCCCATCGCTGGCATCACCTGGTGAGCTCTGCCTCCTGTCAGATCAGCAGCAGCATTAGATTCACATAGGAGCACGAACTCTACTGTAAACTGGGCATGTGAAGGGTGTAGGTTGCACACTACTTATGAGAATCTAATGCCTGATGATCTGAGGTGGAGCTGAGGCGGTGATGTTAGCGCCGGGGAACAGCTGCAAATTCGGATTATCATTAGCAGAGAGGTTTGACTGCAGAGACCATAATAAGTCAATTGCTTGCAGACTCATATCCAAACCCTATGAGTGAGTGGCAAGTGACAATTAAGCTGCATCTGGTGTTGGGCTTTATAGTGGCAATTGTGAAGGTGCATCTGGTGGCAGACTTTATGTCAGATTCCAACACTTATTCCAGTCTACTTCCATCCACACCTCTTTCCCACACTGCACACTTGTCTCAGTCACAGTTGTGGTAAGCACACAAGCTAACCCTAGCAAAAATAAGTAAAAAACAAACATCGCTGGAGAACTTCTTCAAAAAAGGAGAAAGACCCACTGATGAGACAGCAGAAGACTCTAAGACTGCCAACAAAATGAAAGCTGAATTTCAAAGAAAATACCAAGAGTCCTACTTAAATCACAGGTTCATTGCAACAGGTGATTCACATTCTCCAAGCCCGCTTTGTATATTGTGTGGTGACCGGCTATCCAACAAAGCCATGAAACCTTCAACCTTTGCAGCATGGAGACCAAACAGCCTGCATTAAGAGACAAGCCTTTGGAGTTTTTCAAAAGAAATAAACATGAACACGAGAAACAGAAGCAATTATTGAAGGCCACCACTTCATCAAATGTGCCTGCACTGAGAGCGTCACTCTTAGTGGCCAACCGCATTGCTAAAGCTAAGAAGCCCAACGCTACTGGGGAAGCGTTGATCCTGCCCATTGCTAAGGACATTTGCTGTGAACTTGTAGGAGAGGCTGCAGTTCAAAAGGTGGCACGTGTTCCTCTTCCCGCTAGCACCATAACTGGATGAATTGATAAAATAGCAGAGGATATTGAGGCACAATTGTTAGGATTAATGAGTCACTGTGGTATGCGGTCCAGGTTGACGAGTCTACTGAGGCAGCAAGTCTACAAGGTAGCAATGCTTGTTTCTGTGCAATACATTTTTCAGGAAGATGTGCATGAGGATATGTTATGTGCACTTTTGATGCCAACCAACACCACAGCTGCAGAAATATTCAAGCCTTTGAATGATTACCTACCAGGAAAACTGAATTGGTCATTTTGTGTTGGTATATGCACGTGGATGGAGTGGCTGCCATAACTGGATGGCTTTCTGGTTTCACTACTTGGGTCAAGGATGTTGCTTCTGAATGTGAGTCTATGCACAGTGTCATCCACAGAGAAATGCTGGCTAACCAAAAAACGTCACCTGAACTAAACAAAGTTTAGGATGTGATTAAAATTATCAACCACATTAAAGTACATGCCCTTAACTCACACCTGTTCATGCAGCTCTGTGAGGAGAAGGATGCAGAGCACACATGTCTTCTCTTACACACAGAGGGGAGATGGCTTTCTAAAGGTAGATCACTGGCCAGAGTTTTTGAGTTATGAGAGCTGCTCCAGAAATTTCTTTTAGAAAACAGTCACCACTGGCAGCACATTTCAGTGACACAGAATGAATTGCAAAACTTGCTTGCTTGTGTTACATGTTCAACCTGCTCAACGAACTCAATCTGTCACTTCGGGGGAGAACAACAACTGTGTTCAAGTTGGCAGATAAAGTGGCTGAGTTCAAAGCCAAACTGGAATTATGGGGGCGACGAGTGAACATTGGGATTTTTGTGACATGTTTCAAACATTAGCAGAGATTTTTGAAAGAGACTGAGCCAGGGCCTTCTTTCTCCCAGCTGGTGCAAGATTACCTATCTCAGCTTTCAAAAGAGTTTGGGCATTACTTCCCAACCACAGAAGACCCCTGAACTGGGAAGGAATGGATCTGCGAAGCCATTTGTGAATAAGCCAGGTGAATGGACTTTGTCCGTGTGAGAAGAGGATCAACTGCTTGAGATCACTAATGACGGTGGCCCTAAAAGTATGTTTGAGACAACGTCAAATCACCATACGTTCTGGATTCACGTCAAGGTGGAATATTCTGAGATTGCCACAAAAACACTGAAAAGCCTGCTTCCATTTCCAGCATCCTAGCTTTGTAAAGCAGGATTTTCTGCAGTGGCAGCAACCAAAACGAGATTACAGAGTAGACTGGACATAAGCAACACACTTTGGGTGTCACTGTCTCCCATCACTCCCAGATGGGACCATCTAGTTGCAGGAAAACAAGCTCAGGGCTCTAAGTGATTCTGCATTATGATGAGTCGTATAATAATTTCATTACATATTGCAATGTAATAATAATAGAAATAAAGTGCACAATAAATGTAATGCGCTTGAATCATCACAAACCATCCCTCCCCCCCCCCAATCTGTGAAAAAATTGTCTTCCATGAAACCTGTCCCTGGTACCAAAAAGGCAAAAAGGTTGGGGACCGCTGCTCTAGCGGAAACAACAGGCAGATAAGGTACAAAACCAACCAACCTTCAGGATCAGGAAGTGAGAAAAGCAGTAGGATCAGATACAAACTGCAGAGGGATCCCAGAGAAGGAAGTAATTAATTCTCACTAAGTGCATTGGAAAGCTGTTAGAGAGGAAGTGACATTCGAACTGGCCCTTGTGGGCAGCGTGGGGCATTTCGAGCAGTGGCAGCAGCAAGAGAAAGGCTCTCGTTTAAGAATGAGCAGGAAGTCTCGGACTGCGGCTCTGGCATGGAGTGGGGTGCAGGTGAGGCACACACGGGCCAGGTTCATGCAGCAGAGGCCTTAGGAGTGCGCTGGGGACTGGGATGTAGAAGGGAAGAGCCACTGGGGGTGCCAGTTTATTTGCATTAGCAAGGAAAGTCACACAATCAGATCTGTGCAGCAGAAAGCTCACTCTGCAAGCCACAGGAAGGCAGCCTGGGAGAGGCCGGGGCAGGTTGAGGCTATTGCAGTAAACCAGACATAAGACGTTGAATCAGGGCAGAGGTAGCAGAGGTGTAAGTGGCTGGAGTGACATTTTCAAATAATACCAGCCAGTCTTGTTCACCTATTTGCTTCAGGGTTTCAGGGAGCTGAAGGGTGGTTAGGATGTCTCCTGGGTTTCTGTGTGGGTGGCCAGGTGGTTGGTGGTGGCATTCACTAAGAGAATGCAGAACTACACCCACTGGCTCACTGATGGACAATGTGACCGGACAAGCCCTGTGGTTGCTCTGAGTTTTCATTCCTCAAATGCAACAGCGTCTGTCACTTCAGTGCGCCGCTCACCGGCCGCGAAACCTTGCCCAAACCCGGTACTCACGGTCCGCACAATAGTGTGTGCTGTGCATTGACGACGGATCCGTTTTGCTCTTGTGAGATGAGGAAAGCTTTAAAGCACTGAAAGCTTGTTTTACTTTACAGGCAGCTTTACTTGTAATGTAAATCAGAATAGGTAGCATATACTTATATGTTTTTATTACGTTATTTTTAAATGTTCACAATTTTATTTTGATAAGTGAAAAATTAGAAAAGTCAATGCAATAAAGTCGACGCTCGGCTGTGCACCTTCATATCATAAAACTGTCGGCTACAGTCGACGCTAGGCTGTGCACGTTCACCTGTGGCTATTGCCTATAGTCGACACTCATATCGAAGTGGTTAAAACTCAGGTAAATATATAGATTTTGCTACTAGAAGCTATAATGATTTTTTCTCTTTCCATCTCGCAGCGTGTTAAACCGCACCCCTATGCATCTGATCCAGGAAATCATATTAGTGGATGACTTCAGCAATGACCGTAAGTAATGTCGCTCACTTGCTCTTTAGGTGCCAATGTCCGTTGCCTGCCCCTGTGCAACAGGCAGAGGTGAGTGCACTGGTTTTCTGGGGATGGAGAACGGCCTAGGTTTGTAATAGGGATGGGAGACTTCGAGTGTCCATGGCTGAGCTCAAGAAGGAGAGAAGCTTTACTTTTAAAAAATAATTTCTTGGGTTCTCTGCTGTGAGTCTTTGAGGACCTAACCAGCTAAATTTAGTAGATTCCTGGTTTGGCTGGTGTGTGAGTATATGCGTGTGCATGCATGCACACCTGGATATGCAAGTCTGTGTGCACATATATGTGCAAGCATGCATGGCATGCACATGAACATATGTCATTGCCCCCAACCTATATTCCTGGTCATGGGAAAAGACACTGAACCTTCAAAGGATCCACACTGGGACCCAAAGCCCAGAAGCAATGCCCACCACTAGAGATTCCTCATTCTTATGCTGCAATAATCTGCAGTCTGAGCTGAGGCTGACATGCCCTCTCTCTGCCTTTCCTAGAGAGGTCCACGTGGGCCCTGTCTTTGGGACCCCTGGGGGACCTCCCATCCCCTAGCCCTGACACAGTGCATGGCTGCCTCCTGTCTCCCAACATGCTGGTCATTACCATCTCCTACCTTGTGTCCCCCAGTCCTGCTGTCAGAGAACCTGGGTCCCAGGCTAATTCACACCCCACTTGCCCTCTCCAGAGAAAAGCATGGAGGTGTTTCCAGATGTCTGTGTGTTAAAGTTGAAAGGCACAGTGATGGTAGAAGGTCTGTCAGAATTCAAGTGTTGGTAGTGCTGACACTTCCCCTGAGAGCCAGCATCCCGGCCCCTGGGTGCAGCTCCGTGGAGTCAGCTGTATCCAGACAGGACAGCCTCTTCCTGATGATAAACCGGGGGAAACAGGGTGGCCACCGGAGACACAGCTCTGCGTCCAGCAGAGTAGAGCCCGCCCCCAGCAGGACTGATGCTGGAAGCTGGGCACAGGGAGCCGCTGCCATGCTGGGGTCTGCTGTGCAAAGCTGGAACCCACAGCCATTGGCACAGCCTCAGAACCTCTGGGAGTGACACAGAAGTGGGCTGTGCATGAGGCCCAGAGTGATGAGATCAAGACTCTGAGTTCTGGTACTCAATGGTCTGCTCTTTTTCCCTGGTGAGGAGGAGCTTGGTGGTCAGGAGACACTTGCGGTGGTAGGGGTAGTCTGGCACTGAGGCAGGAGAAGGGACAGCTAGCTGCTGGATTCACTTGGGAGCAGAATAGCCTAGTGATTAGAGCATGGACTCTGGGCCCAGGCTGCCTAGGTTCAGATCCTCGCCTTGCAACTTCCTCACTCCCTGGCTACGTGCCTTGAGCAAATGATCAACCTCATGTCGTCAGTTTCCTTGTCTAGAAAAAGGAGGTGATAATAGTATATATGGTTTATTTAAGGATTAAACATGTCAACATGTTAATGTAATAAAATGCAATAGCCTCAGCCAGGCTGCCTTCCTTGGGGCTTCCAGAGTGAGCTTTCTGATGCACAGATCTGATTGTGTGACTTTCCTCACTAATGCAAATAAATAAACTGGCACCAAAATGATGGGGCCAAGGTATGGAGTTCACAGCCAAAGAACTGAGGGGACAGCAGGCAATCCAGGAGGCACCTGGAACACATGTCTAGAGCAGGGTCTCTTGCTCACCCTGGCGCCAGCACATCTCCCTGCGTGATAGAGAAGTGAACCGGCTCTGAGTGACAGCAGGTGCACTGGGCTGATCCTTTCATAGAGAGGGTCTCTGTGCTCTGAAAGGAAAGTCCAAAGGCCATCTCGACCATTCGTGGCCTTCCAGAACTTTTTACCAGACCCAGCAAGGTGAACAGGACTCGGATCTCATGCTTTGAATGGCCCTACCCAAAGGAGAAAATCCCCAGGTGACGAGGTCAAAATTGCCCACCTGGAGTGTTTTCACACGGGTGCAGAGGTGCTTGCTGTGTACTCACCTGACCAAAGAGGCCCACCTTATCTAATAACAGCATGATCCCTTAGCCCCTCCACTGCCTAGGAACACCCTGGAGTCAGGACTCGGCTCGGCAGTTGGGGCTGGGGACAGTGGGTGGAGCTGCCTTACCTACCCTTCAGGTTCACAGTTCCATCATGCAAGCGCATCCCAGACACTCGCTCACTCGGCATAACCTTTTTTCTTTGTAGCCGATGACTGCAAACAGCTCATCAAGTTGCCCAAAGTGAAATGCCTGCGCAACAATGAGCGGCAGGGTAGGTCCGTGCGGCTGGGCGGGGCTCAGGTGTGAGTGGTATGGGGGTGGGAGTGGGGGGGTGAGCTTGGGTGTTCTGGGCAAATGTTGGGTGGCTATTCTTGGTATTGCTGGACGACAGAGTGACAGTGACACCTCCTTGGTCATTTGTCCCTAACCGCAGGTCTGGTCCGGTCCCGGATTCGGGGTGCGGATGTTGCCCAGGGCACCACTCTGACTTTCCTCGACAGCCACTGTGAGGTGAACAGGGACTGGCTCCAGCCGCTGCTGCACCGGGTCAAAGAGGTGAGTGGGGCCGAGGGGCGGAGCTGAGCTTCCCTCCACCAGGTGTCTCCAGGCCTTCTCAGGCACGTCACCTCGCAGGTGCCCCCCAGTTCCTCTGGGAGGTGGGTGGGACAGACTGCTGTCCCCATTTTATAGATGAAGTAATTAAGGTGGATCAGGCTGCCTGAGGTCATGCAGCAATCCATGGTAGAGCAAGGACCAGGACGTGTGACCAGGACTGGCACCCACAGCAGACCTACACTTGGGGCTGCCGGCAGCTGGTACATGACACATGCAGCTCCACGGCCAATAGAACTGCGCAGAACTGTTTCTACCAGAGAGCAGTTTCCAGAAAGGGAGCCCTTATGTGTGCATTTTGTAGGAAAGAGGCAAGAGAATTAACCAGGCTTCATGCCTGGTTCCTGAGGCCTCTGTCTTACTTCCACCCACCACGCGTCACCCTCACCCAAGGGCTCCGCCATGCCGGCAGGCTGGCTGCCAAGAGACCTGAGTTCCTGCCTCTGTTTGCCCATACGTGACTCTGGAATCCCGTATGCATCTTTCTTCATGTCTCAGTTACTCCTCTCGAAAGTCAACCACAAAAACTTTAATTTTCCCCATCATTATTTTATATTCCGAACAGCCCATCGTCCCCCCAGCTGATGTGCAGAATGTGTGGCCTCTGTCCTGCCCGTCACTCTTCCTGAGTTACTGACGCGCATGGCCGTCTGTGGAGCAGGAGGTCAGGTGTTTCTAACATGCCTGTTCCGAGGATGGGGAGGCAGTCTCGTGCGAGTCTGTAACCTCGTGTGACATTCCTTAGCGGTGCTGCCAGCACCCGGGCCTTGGGTGTTAACCTCAGCTGCATCTTCCCTGGGCTGCGGTCACTTCCTACCCATTCCTCAGGCCACCTCTGTAATGACAGTGTTGAGGAGATGGAAGAGTCGAGCTCCATAAACTGCTCAGAACTAGGACGTCCTTACCAGCGTCGTTCATTCCAGAGAGAGCCCCGCTGGGTTTGCAGAGTTCTCAGATGTGGGCCCACGTGTTAAAGGCCATCGGTGACCATCTTCCCTGAGGTTGGGCGGCTCGTCCACTCAGTGTTATTTAGAAAACTCCCCTCTCCACCTCCTTTTTGATGTAAGCCAGGCAAAGAGGTCGGGACTGAGAAATACTAAGTCATGAACAGGTCGTTCAGTTGAAGGGCTTTGCCTGGCACTGCCACCCGGGCCCCTCCTCTGTCTCCTGTCTACGGCAGTGGCACAGCTGGGCCACTCCTTGTCCCGGAACGTGCCCCCGACATCCCCACTGCTCCAGCTCTAGCCAGGCCCTTCCTGTCCCGGTCGCCTCCAGCCCACTCCACAGCCCTTGCTCTTGGCCCCCGCCCACGCCTCCCCTCTGCTAGGAAGCCTTTCCCGGCCATGCGGTCAGCATGGGTCACTCCAACACTTGTCCCCTTGGTCCACCAGTACCTCTCCTGGGTTCTCTGTCTCCCCCAACACAGTGGTCCCCAACTTTTTTGGCACCAGGGACCAGTTTCATGGAAGACAGTTTTTCCACGGATGGGGAGGTAGGCAGAGCTCCAACGGTGACGCTGCCCCGTTCCTCACAGGCCGCAGACTGGTCCCAGTACCAGGGGTTGGGGACCGCAGCCCTGACAGATTCCAAACCCAGTGGGGACACCAATGCCTCCTGTGGCTGTCCTGCCCATCATAGAACAGATACTCGGTGTCTGGAAATGTCAGTAAGAGACCAGATGCCCCAAGGAGGTGATAGGGTTGGAATAGGAAGAAAGCAGTGAGTCGTGCCCCTAAATTAATTAACAGACATGTATCGAGCACCTATTCTGGGCAGAGTCCTAAGGTTGGAACAGGCCGTGTGAAAGGAATCCAGCCCTGCTTGGTGAGCCCCACTGGGTCCCTGTGTACTGGTGCCACGCTGGTTTGCAAACAACCCCCAGTGAAGGGGAACACAGAAAGTGAGCACAGGTAGAGCCAGGGAAAACTCCAGTAATAAGGAAATTCTTTGAGGAAAAGAAATATGGAAAATATGTGGGCACCTCTTGGTTATTGAGGTAACCGCTCCCCACCAGGAACCTTGACTTCCCAGAAAGATCTTCTGCCTGGGAGCCGCTGACACTACCCTAGGGCCAACTAAATCGCTCTGCGGCCATTCATGCCCAGAGTTAAAAGGAAACTGCAGCACGTTAAACAACAACTAAGGGTTAAGGAAGCAGAATGAGAACTAATGTCTAGAGTCTAGGAGTGCTTAGCTGGGGAAAGTGAGGGGTTGGAGATGGTGTCTCTGTTCACAGGGGATTTTGTAAGGAAGAGATAAGGTGTTCCCTACCTAAACTAAGGTCACATTTTTAAAAAAGTGAATTTGAAACTGAGGAATGTGGCATAATGGAAAACTTCTTGGCAGGGGACAGTTGAGGCTGGGCCCTCTCGTTTTCCATTACAAAAATATCCCATGGTCATTGTAGACATTTTAGAAAACGAGGAGCAGTAGAATAAAAATTAATCAAAATTCTACCATTCAAAGACATCCACTGTTAACATTTCTTTCCATTTAGGATCTTTTTCCCTTTGCAGAAAGTGTCTTTTTACATAATTGTAATCATACTGTATTTATATAATTTTGTATTCTGCTTTTTTCTCTTAATGTTATACATAAGCATTTTCTGAGCAATGTTTCTAAGGTAACTTGCCCCTCGCCTAGAATGGCAGACGTGTTGCCGTATAAACAATATTGACGTTTGTCTCCGAGACGAAGAAATGAAGGGCTGCGGTCAGGGCATGGTCCAGCGCCCACCCAGCACTGCTGGCCCCTCCTCACTCGGCCCCACCCCTCGGGGCCCCTGCTCCAGCCAGGCCCCCTCCCTCTTCCAGGTTGCCGGCCACACACCCGGAAGCTGAAGCTCATGGACCCTGGCTCTCCTTACATGTTGGGGGCTTCTGGGCCAGGGCGTGGTCAGGGCTCAGACCTGACCCCAGGAGCTCTCTGACCAGAACTGTGCCCAGGCCTCCCTGGGTGCAGCCGTGACAGGGGTGGACTCAGTCCCCATGGCCTCTGCCCCCAGGCTGACTTTGTATGAGTGTGTGTGTGTGTTGTGTAAAATATAATACATATAACAAAATTTACTATTTTGACCATTCAAACATGAGCAATTCAATGATTTTAGTATGTTCATGGCAGTATGTAATCCTCACCATGATCTAATTTTAAAACATTTTCATCACCCCAAAAGGAAAGCTTATACCCATTAGCAGTCGCTCCTCGTTCTCCTCTTCTCTCTGCCCCTGGCCACCACTAATCTGCTCTCCATCTCTATGGATTTGCCTATTCTGGACATTTCGTATAAATACTATGATATGTGGCCTTTTGATCTTGGCTGCTTTTAGCATATTTTTGTGCTTTATCCACACTGTAGCGTGTATCAGTATTGCTGTTTATGGGTGAATAATATTCCATGATATGTATATGCCATGTTTTGTTTACCATTCACCCACTAATGAACATTTGCATTGTTTCTGCCTTTTCACTATTGTGAATTGTGATGCTATAAACATTTTTGTGTACAAGGGTTTTTTTTTTTGAGTACTTATTTTCAATTCTTTAGGGTGTGTGTGTGTATATATATATATATATATATATATATATATATGAATGGAATTGCTGGGTCATATGGTAATTTTATGTTTAATCTGTAGGGACCCCCAGGCTTACTTTGTCCCTGCAGAATGCATTAAGGGAGCCTTGCTTTCCTTGGACAGCCTTAATGAATCTGCAAAGCCCTTTCCATCCCAGTGGCTCTGAGTCCATCTTGAAAGCTCTCTCTGAGAAATGTTCTCGTTTTTGCATCCATGGCCGGCCTCACCTACTGGTCAGGCAAAGCCTTCAGCTCCTTCAGTGCCTGCCTGCTGCCAAACACTCCTTCTTGGGGAGCCATTCAGCCCCAAGACTGAGCTCAGCCTCCCAAGCTAAGCTCCTCGGTCCTCTCCACTGCCTGGGCTAAAGCTTCCATAGCAAAGAGATTAGTCAGACAAGCCCAGGAGCCATGGCCCAGCTCTGGCCCTCGAGGGGCTGCAGAGGTTTTTGGTAAGACCCTGACTTTTTTGATGACATGAAACGGTTCCTCTGGGACAGCCCTTTGGGGATAGGGAGTGTGGGCACGTGTCAGCCTGATTTCTGTGTGTCTTTGTATGTGTCTTGTGTTAAAGTAGAATGTGATTTGATCTTGTACATGGAAGTAGAAATGTTAAGCTGTAATTGGAGTTTGGGATTTTCAAAAATAGAAAGAGTTAAGGAAGAGGCTGGGCTTGAGGTGCCATGAGCTGTCCTCAGCCGGTGTTTTCCACACTGAAAACCTCCCAGACTCTACTTCTTTTCCTTTCAATTACATGAAGATACTTGAAACCAACACCAGGTTGGTTTGTTTTTTTTTTTTTTTTTGAACATAGGCTTCTCTTTTCCCCCTCCATATCTACATATTTTTAGTAGGAGAAAAAATTTTAAGAAATCCCAATCCCTGTAGCATTTGGTAAATTTATATAAATATTAATAATAGCTTACATATTCTTCCAAGACTTATCACATGCTTTCTTCTCTTTTTGCTCACAAAGGCCCTGTTAGAGAGGAAGGGTAGTTTTGCAAACAGTAACTTGTCTTCACTTTATAGATGAAGAAACAGAGTCCCACAGAGTGTGCTGACTTGTATAAGGTCACACGTATTCTAGATGGCAGAACCAGAATGGAAACCTAGGTGTCCTGCCAAGTTGTCCCTGCCCCACAGTGTCACCTCCTTGAGGACTTCTGCTCCCTTCTCCTCCCTGCCCCTCCAGGCCAGCTTAGAGGCCCCCAGGCTCTGTGTCTACACCCCTGCATCAGAACCATCTCACCTGTCCTCACCTTCCCTAGACTGGGAAGTCTTATTCGTCTTTGTACCTGCCACAGCCAGCCCACAGCAGGTGCTCAGGGATGCTGGGTGACCACAGGAGTGAACATCCCTCAGAGCTTTTTGATTGCCCATTCCCAGTGTGGTTTTAATTACATGACTCAGTGGAGAAACGGGAGGCGTGACAGCAGGATGACAGTGGCCAAGGGCTGGTGCACTCAGCCTCTGTTGTTGCTCCTGGCTGGGGAGGGTTGGGTGGGAGTGGGTGGGGGTAGGGGCTTGGATCTGCATGGGGGAGGGAGAGCAGGGGGTGTGGTTCAGGATCTGCCAGGATTCCACCTGCTGCCTGCTTGAGCTGAGTGTGGTCATAGCTTTAAAGATACAGCCCGCTGGGGCATGAGGCAGGGACGTCCTGTGGGTCTGGGTGTTTGTGTTGCAAGTCCCTTCATCGGGAGTCTGCGGGAGGAGAAGCCGTCCTGTTCAGCTGCAGCTCGCTTGCTGGCAGCACCGACAGTGTCCTCAGAGGCAGTAATAGACGTCCTCTTTCAGCCAGCACAGACGGAACACCTGCTGCCCACCAGGCCCTGGGCTGGGGCTGAGGGATTCAAAAGTGGCACTTAGAGAGGTCATGCCCCGGCTTTGATGGCTCATTCTTAAAGTCTCCTGCAGCCCCTTTCAAGGTCGCGGCTGCACGCACACTCAGCCCCAGACATCCCTCACTGCCTGTCTGGTCTCCGTGACTTGCAGCCAGGCAGATGCCACGGCCGAGCTGTGACTGGGATAATAGGACACAACCCTCAGAGCTCACGGGGAGCACACCCTGAAGGCGGAACCCATGCACAGCTTCCGGGGGGGCTCTGTGGCCAAAGTGAACAGCCAGCACTTTATTTGGTATTGTGGTTTGCAAATATTCGGTGAAGATTTATTTTAAAGTCAAAGCAAAACAGGATTGCAGTTTGGGAGACCCTGAGACCACTCTAAGTTCAATCATTTGCTAGAAGGACTAAGAACTCAGCAAAACTGTTGTGATCATGGTTATGCTTTATTACAGTGAAAGGATACAGATGGAAGTTGGCAGTGGGAGAAGGTGCCAGGGGAGTTCCGGGCATGAGCTTCCCGTTGTCTTCTCCCAGTGGGTTGTAGGGACAGCGCTCACTTCTCTCAGCAGGATGAGAGGCGACATGCATGGAGTATTGCCAACCAGGAAAGCTCACCCGGACCTAGGTATCTGAGGTTTTTCTTAGAGGTCGGTTCCATAGACAAGGCTGACCACTCAAGGTCTCCAGGCCCCTCCAGAGGTCAAGTTGAGTGGGTGCTGCGTGGCCCGAGGCCCTCACCACAAATCACAGTTAGTGTAGACTGTGTGGCGTAGCCCACAGCTCCCGGGGAAACACAGACGCTCTTCTAGACAGGGCGTTCCAAGGGTTTAGAGGTTACCTCCCAGCAGCTGGGCAAAGATTATCTTCGGGCATGGTTAATCCTTCACTGTGTAGGAGCCACAGAAGGACAGAGAGCACCTGCACAGGCCCCCAGACTCAAAGCAAAGGCAAAATGAAGATTTGTCAGATGCAGCAGAGATGACTCTGAACATCTGAGGACATTTCAGAATTCAAGGGATAATTGCATGTGTGCATGTTTGTGTGCATATGTTTGTGTGTGTAGGTATTTGTATGGATGGCAGGGTGTGTGTCTGCCGTGTGTATCTACATGCAGTCACACAGTGACAGTGGCCCAAGAAGAGCCCCAGAGGAACCGTGGCAGCTGGGCAGGTGCAGTGCTGACTGTGAATGAGCATCTGTGACATCCCAGAGGTAGAAGCAATGCATAGAAAATGAGCATTTCTTTCCATGTGGGCCAATTGGTTTTCAGAGGCACCTTGTTACTGTCAGAATGAGTCACATGTGGGAGGCTGAGGGCCAAATTAAGTCTGTGAACTTAAAATCAGACACTCAGTGAATCTGGAGCTTAAAATAAGAAGACAACCTCATTTGGAGGAAAGATTGAAGCAGGAAATTAAACGGCTTCAAGGAGAACCAGAGGTTCCTGCCTGTGTAGGCCAAAAGGTGGTTGGTGCAGAAGACGGGAAGAGCAGTCCTGCCTGGTTCCCAGACACCTGCTGGCTTTGCCGGGAGCTTCCCGGGCCACCTGATTTCCATTTAGCTGTCCATGAGTCTCTGTGTTTGGGGGCAGTTTCCTCACTGCACACCAGGTACAGGGGTACTCACTCAGGATTAGGGAATCTGAAAAATATGTATACAATGCCTTGACGGCCCCCAAGGGCTGGTGACATGGACTTGCATATTTTGAAACTATTTTGTGGAGGATTTTCCTGCCTACAGACGAGGTGGCCTGAGGGAAGAAGGAAGTGATGAGGTTGGAAAGCTAGAGACAGGCCTGTCCTGATGGTCTTGGATGCCAGGCTAAGGAGTTTGTACCTTATCTTTGAGGCAATGAACATTTTTAGCAGTTGAGTGGCAGAGTCAGATTTGCAAATTGGAAAGTCAACCTTGGCGGCCATAAGTAAAATAAAGCAGAAGAGAAGGAGGTAGGGTGGGCTTGAGTTTAAGAGTCCCTTGCAGTTCTCCAGGCTTGAGGGGTGGAGGAGGGGCAGGATGAATGCAAAGGAGCAAATTTAGAGTTAGAACCAGCACGACTTGGTCTGGTTGACAGGTGGTGAAGCTTCTCCATTTAGTGCTGGGGGAGAGGGGTGGCGTACACCATGCTTCCATTAGCAGAAATAGGGAACTTAGGGAGAGAAGTGTTTGGGGAGAAGAGGATGAAGCCACCATTGGAAGGGCTGAGTGAAATGCACATGGAGGTGGCTTCTTGGATCTGAGTCTGGAAGTGAGGAGGGAAGGAGGGCCTGGCACAGGTTTATGAGTATCTGTCTACAGGGAACAGCTGAGGTTGGAGGCTCTGGAGATGCTGTCCATCAACTTGTCCGTGAGCCACAGGCCTGGAATGAAACTGAGAGGTTCCCCAGAGTGTGTGATATGCTTCTCGGGGCTGCAGGCTTGGAGTTGCCTTTCCAGCCAGATCTGCCTGCTGGAGCCCACCGAGGGGGAAGGGCTCCCTGGTTTCCCCTTCCCCCGTGCACAGCGCTCCCCAGCCAGCCTCCAGCTGTCTGCACCGTTCTGCGACGGCCGCTGTGGTTCAGGGGTCCCAGCAGTCTTAGCATTTTAGGCATCAGAACTGGAGAGGTCCCAGTGTCCATTGCCCCATTTTATAGATGATAAAACTGAGACCCAGAGACAAAAGGGCTTGGTCAAGGCCACAAACCCCAGTCTGAGACCACAAGGGAGGCCTCCTGAGCTCCCTAACTCCCCTGCGGCAGACTGAGCACGAGCCTGTTGTCTTCCAGGACTACACGCGGGTGGTGTGCCCTGTGATCGACATCATCAACCTGGACACCTTCGCCTACATCAAGTCCGCCTCGGAGCTCAGAGGGGGTGAGTGGGGCTGATGCCTTCTCCTGGGTGGGGACAGTGAGGGGAAGCTCTCAGTGGCTCGTCTGGAACACCCAGCCTGCCTCCTGCGATGTAACAACTCCAGCCTGGCTGTTAGTGGCAGAACTGCGGACGGCAGGGCTGGGGGTGGGCAGGACTCCAGTGCTCAGACGGGGCTCGCCCGGGCCTGAGGACATGATGGGAGCAGGGATTCCCCAGCTGCGTGGGGCCTGCATTGCTCTGCCCCCCTCTCCTAGAGTCTCGCCCCCCATCTCTGCCCAGGGCCTGCATTGCTCTGCCCCCCTCTTCTAGAGTCTCGCCCCCCATCTCTGCCCAGGGCCTCATGCTCCTGCCACGACTGACTTTGAGGAGGCTCAGGTAGTCTGAGGCCTCTCCCAAACCTCCGACTCACAGCTTCCCAAGACTCAGGCCAAGGGCCACCTTCTGTAACCGTCCACTCTGTCGTCCCCAGGCCCCACCCTGGGCTCCGTACCCTCTGCCCTCATCCCTAACTCTGCCCGGCAGAGGGAGAGGGAGCCTGGCGGCCAGGCTGCTGATCAGCCCAGGTGGGACCTGTGTCCCGGGGGCCAGTTTCTCAGGGAACCTGTGTGCATTCGTCACCTTCTGGAGAAGCTCTGCTGTGCTTCTGAGAGACCACATCAAGCAGCTCAGTGCTGTGTTTCAGGGTTTGACTGGAGCCTCCACTTCCAGTGGGAGCAGCTCTCGCCAGTGCAGAAGTCTCGGCGCCTGGACCCCACGGAGCCCATTAGGTAAGAAGGAAGGGTCCGAGCGAGGGTGAGTGGGCAGATCTGTCCCGATGGCCCCATCTCTCTGTCACGTGGTGTAGGGAGGCACTCCATGTGAGATGACAAAGGACTGGGCAGAGTCGAAGGGAACCCTTTGCCAAGACATCTCCACTTTTGCCCTCATTTGAGGAGGTTTCCATCTTCATGGAAACTTCTAGCTAAGGGGATGGGTCCTGGTGGAGACCTGAGCTGAGGAGTGTTGTCTACTCTCACAGGTGCCATGATGTACCTGTGGAGGGTCCCATATGGGCCTCTGGTGAAGGAAGGATGGTTTTGGAGGGCCAGGAGCAGAGCCCCTGGGTCTCGGGTGTCCGGTTTCAGTCTGGGAAGGTTGAAACAGCCACTGCTGTAAGCGGAGGCCAGAATCAAGGCACAGCCGCCACTGCGCATTAACAGGCACACGTGCCCCTTCTGTTGAGAACATGACAGTGGCGTGGACTCTGGCTGCTTTGCTGAGCTGTGGGTGGCTTTGCCCTGACCCGCATTCACTCTTGCAGGCCCACAGTGGCCTGCACATGGTGGCAGGTGTCTGCCCGGGGCCCATCTGAGGGCTCGGCATGGAATAGAGCACAGGGGCCACCCCACGGGGAGCCCATGGTCTCTGCATCAGGGGCGTGTGGCTTCGATGTCCCACCAAAGGCTGGACAGTAAACCCGTCCCAGGCCTGAGATTTCTCCATTCAGTGACTTGGGGATGCCAGGACTATTCAAGGGCGTCTCTGTGTCTCTGACACTGCCATATAGTAAATGTTTGATCGTTTTCACCAAATTGACTTAAGTCAAATTGCAAACCAAAGGGGATGTGAAGAGCTATGAATAGGGATACGAATGGTGACACTGCAGACGGGGGTGGGACTCTCTAGCCTACCTGCCATCTTTCCCCTTCCTGCAGCCTCCACGGTCTGGAGAGAGGCAGGGAGGGAGACTGGCACCAGCTGGCCCCCAGACACTGTCCTTTCTTTCTCTTCTTCTTCCCGTGCTGAGCCTCACGCAGCTCACATCAGCTCCTCAGCCGCTCAGCGTGCGGCGTGGCATGGGCAGAGCGTTACCTGTCCAGACACCTCAGAGGAATGGGCCAGGTCAAGGTCAAGGTGGTGGTTCTGTGGCTCCCTCTGGGTTTCCCTTCTCTGTCCCAGTGTCAGTGTTCTGTTCTCGTGGGACATCTCTGCTCACCAGAGAGCAAGCGCTTCCTGGATGAGGCCAGTTCTCAGGGAACAGCAGGCTGTGGTGGCATCGGGAGACCCAGGCGTCTGCACAGGTTTCCCTCAATTACTTGTTTGATGTGGGAGAAAACTCCCTTCACCCGCTGGACCCACCGAATGTGGGCCAGGTCCTGAGGGCTTGCCCCCCGGCCCCAGCCCCCGAGTGGTACCAACACCCGTCCTTCTACTTGCTGGGTAATTTACTGGGGCTCTGCTCCCCTCGCCTGTCTGCCCAGCCCCTTTCCTATCCAGGCATCTCACACTCTTCAAGGCAGGGGAGCCTCGGGTGGGGCCCCGAGAAGAGGAAACAAAGGGTACGTCAATGGAAAGTAAGACAAACTCTGTGTAATAATTTAAAGAGGTTTATTCTGAGCCAAATTTGAGGACCATAACCCGGAGCCATGCCCAAGAAGCCTTGAGCAAGTGGACTCGCGGTGGCTGGGTTACAGTCTGGTTTTATATATTTCAGGGAGACAGAAATTACAAGTAAAGTTATAAATCAGTACATGGAAGGCATACATTGGTTTGGCCCAAAAGGTGAGACATCTCAAAGTGAGGGCTTACAAATCATAGGTGGGTTAGGGGTTCTTTAGTTGACAGTTGGCTGAAAGAGTTAGGCTTTGTCCAAAAGACTAGGAATCAACGGATAGGCTTGAGTCAAGACAAGGGTCTCCTGTCATTTATGGGATGCTATACTGGAACCAGGTTGGGAGTAAAACACATCATAAAAACCTCTTTACTGAGATTCTATCATTTGTAGGCATGGCTCACCAGGCCCCCTTTCTAGAATATTTTAGGCAAAGAAAAAGATCAGAGTTCAGTCCTCAGGTATGTGTGAGTTCACAAGGGCTGTTGTAACAGCGCCCTGCACGTGGGGTGGCTTACAAGGCAGACACGTGCGGGGTCTCACGGTTCTGGAGGGCAGACGTCTGAAGTCAGGTGTCCGCAGGGTTGGTTCCTGCTGAGGGCTGTGAGGGAGGATCTGTGCCAGGCCCCTCTCCTTGGCCTGGAGGTGGCCGTCTCCTCCCTGTGTCTCTTCCCATCGTCTGGGTGTCTGCCTCTGTGTCCAAATTTCCCCCTTTTATAAGGGCAGCAGTCATATTTGACTAGTGCCCACACTGCTGACCTTGTTTTCACTTGATGACCTCTATAAAGACCCTCTCTCCAAATAAGGCCACACTCTGGGTACTGGGAGCTTAGAAAGGGGAACAATTCAACCTGTAACACAGGGAAAAGGAGGAAAGGAGAGAGAGCCAGTTTCAGGAGCAGGATGTGCTGCTGATGGCCTCAGCCTTCCTTCCTGCCCCATCAGTGGCCACCGCCCCTGTTTACCAGTGACGGAGCTGCCAGCAGAGCCCTGCCGGGCAGGGCCTGTGGAAGAGGCCAACGGGGGCTCCCAGGCAGGTCCTCAGAGCAGCTGGAGTCCTGAGCGGGCCCCTCGCCCCAGGGGAGGTGTGCTGATGAGCTAATGTGCCTGTCTGGGAGGTCAGGCAATTTACAATCAAAAGGAAAACCCTGGAGTTTATTCTTGTTTTAGGTAACTGGAAAATGTGTTGGCCCTTCTGAACAGGAATGAAATGGGAAGAAAATGGCCTTGAGTTCTAGACTCCTGGGGCAGAAGAGTTTGAGAGTGACCTCCCCGCTATAACTAGTTCCTCTCTTTCTCTTCTAAATGCACAGGACTCCGATCATAGCTGGAGGACTCTTCGTGATCAACAAAGCCTGGTTCAATTACCTGGGGAAATATGATATGGACATGGACATCTGGGGCGGGGAGAACTTCGGTGAGTCCCTGTCCTATTCGTCCTGACCTATACCCCTCCATACACCCTGGGGGCTGGGGAAGGGATCTCTGAGTCCTTGGATCCTGCACCAAGCTGTCGGGGAGTCACATGGGCCAGGGATGAGGGCCTAAGAGATGGTGAGTGAGTGACTCCTAATGGTTGTCAGAGAGTGTTGCTAACTGGGAATTGCTCTGTGGGGCCACATGGATGCTGAGGACCAGGGAAACACACCTGGGCAGACTGCTACGGGAAAGATGAGATGCAACAGCCAGGAGGACCAAGGAGGAATGCCAAGTCCAAGGGGCCAGGTGCAGGTTAAACTAGGAGCACTGCACCTTCGAATTTGGAGTTGGAAGGAGACTGGAGAGAAAGAGAATGAGGAATAGGAACAGCAGTGACATCCATGAACACCCATTGACATCCTTTGGCCGCTATGAGGAGGGCACGCAGGGCTGGGGAATGAGGAGGGTCTAGGTCAATTGCTACAGAAACCCTGGGGGCATCTTTTAGTGGAAGAGGGGCTGGGTTACAGGGCCCAGAACCTTGCAGATGGCCAGGTCTGGCCATGGTGGGGATACACTGAGGTTTGCGGCTATAAGAGAAACAGCATAGTCAGAACGACCCACTCTCTCTAGTGACAATCAAGTGACCTCATTTCCCTTGTGTATTAAAAGTGTAACTTCAGGGTAATAATCATAATTCTCTGGGCTATTGTGATAATCAGTTGAGGTCAGTGTCAGAATCCTGGCACCCTACAGGCATAGTAAATATTAGTTTCCTCCCAGCAGGTGAGACCTAAGAGATCACTAGAATAGAAGCTGCACAAGGGCACGGATTTTAGTCCTTTTTGTTCCTGGCCATCTGCAGTGCTTAGTATAGGACCTGCATGTGTTGGGGCCTTTCCCCTCTCCGAGCACTGGGGCACATGTCTGGCCTGGGCTCTCCAAACAGTGACTCAAGCCAAGAGAATGATCCATGGGTTGTCCTGGCACTTAGCAGTAATCCCGTGCACTGTCCGCTGTCATTGTTTTCTCCTGTTTCTGCCTCCAGAGAGTTTTATGGCTTTCTTCCTCAGTCACTAAGAGTTATTTCCTAGGAATTTATGGCTTCTGGCCTGACCCACAGCATCTGTTCTCCCAAACTGGGCAGTGGAGAGAAATGCATCAGAAAAGTCAGTGTCCTGCCATACAGGGGCCAGACTAGAAGCTCAGCAAACAAAACAGACTAACACCCCAGCACCCCATCCAAACCAAACCTCCTCCCTGGCACCCAGTCCAAGAAGACCTTCTGGAACATGGTAGGGGGTTGTTGACATGGGGTTTGAGGCCAGGTCTGCCTGCACCAACCCAGGAGAACTTGGAGCCAGGTAGAGCCTTGGAGTTCCCAGTGGGGCAGAGATTTTGCTCTCACTGGGCAGAGCCAATTGTCATGTAATGAGGACCCTAGTTCCTTTTAGTGATGTGTTCTAGCATTTCTTCCAACCATCAAATGTGTCTTCTCTGCAGCACTCTTGGCAGACAGCAGCCTCCAACCTCTGCTCAAATGCCACTTATAATATGTATTCACTATTTCACAGTTTAGCACATTCTGTTGTAGAGAATTTTTTTTTGTTGGGCTGTTAGAAAATCTTCTAAATCAAAGCCTGGCTCCCCCCAGCTCCTGTCTGTCAGGTTTGTTCTGCCCTCTTGAACCGCACAAAGTGAGCATGATTCTTCCACGTGGCAATCCCATGTGGAGTCGGGCAGTGTGTTATTTTCAACCAGGGCACAGTCTGGTCCATTCTGGTATCGGTACAATACTTTCCTTATAGCAGTGTTCACACACATCTGCTCAAATCAAGTAGCAGTCTCATCGAGCAGGCTTCCAAGTCTTTTGGCATTAACAAGGGCCGACTGGAATAGAGAAGTTGGGAAGGGTGCTGGGAGGTGTGGGAGAGACATTTACAATCCATCACAAAATTTTTTAAATCACAAAAAAAAAAAAAGCGCTGCCAACAGCTATCACAGGAAACACTTCATTTTCCCCACCCCAACATTCCATTATGTTATAGCCAGCTAACAGCATTTCGAAAGCCATTTCTGGATGGAGATATATATATATATATATGTATATTAGCATTTTATATGCCAGAAAACACATGGCTTTTCCAATGCTGGCTATGTCATGTGGCAGCCTTGCTTCTGTGGGTGGGTGACAAGGCACCTGAGTACCTGGAGGGGGATGTGACAGAGGGTCCATGTGAAGATTGGATGGAGTTTGCAAGTGACTTTCCAGCTGCAAAGGAGAGAGGGTGCTAAGGGGCGAGGGAAGCTGCCCATACTCCAGGGTGTGGCAGGAGGAGCCTCCTGCCCCCCAAGTCCTGGAGACCCACCACCCTCAGCATTGCTCACACCTTCCTCTCCATCACCACCGACACTATCCTCAGTGGTCCCCCAGCTCCACTCTACTGTGGAATCTGACCTCCCATACTCCTGCCAATATGCTCCTTCTGAAATGCAAACCTCCCACCCCTCCCAGGCCTGGCATCCGCAGTGGCTCCCTCTTGTCCTACTCCCCCGACTCCCCACAGGTCCCTCCCGTGGCCTTGCCCCCCCCCACCTCATCAGTCTGCTTCCGCCTCCAGCCTCCCGTCCAGAGGTCCTGAACAGAACCTCCCACGCTTCCTAGAATGTGCCTGACCCTCTGCAAGGACCTCGCCTTCCATCTCCACCTGAGGTAGAAGCTGACTCCCTTGCACGGCGCAGTCCTGGGGCCACCTCCTCTAGAACTAGGACACCTGCCCCGCCTGGCCTCATGCTGCGCCCCCAGCACCGAACTCCCTCTCTGTCATTGCACTGAGCCTCTCACGTGTTTGTCTGTTTACTCGTCTGTGCCTGCTGCCCAGCCTCCTACCAAACTGGGAACTCGTTAAAGCCAAGGCCATTCATCCAACTTCTCATTCTTGAGGCCCACAACAGTAGAAAACGCTCACTGAATGTGTGTTCAAAACGCCAGAGACTGATTGGGAAGGGCGTTCAGGGTGGAAAGGGCAACATGGCACAATGTATGAGGCGCCATTTAAAGTAAGTCTCATTGCATATTAAATGGAGCCCATGATGAAGGGTTCCCTTTAAACATGAGACTAGTAACAGTAGCAGGCAGAGACATCTTTCCTTCCCCAAAGGTAGAATTTCTGTTCATTCTAGACATGTTCGCATACGTGGTGTTGACTTCATTTCCCAGCACAAAAGTACATGAGGTTATTAGGGAAGGCTCCGGCCAGGGTGACCGTGACCCGTGCAATAGCTTGCAGGCCCTGCCCCGCCCCGTCTTGGTTTTATCTGTTAGAAGCAGCCTCGGTTGGATGGGCTGCAGCAGCCACGTGACAGCCATGCCTCCCACACTCAACACCTTGACCCTGGGGCCACCATTCCCACCAAGTGCTTCTAAGGTGAGCTGAACAGCTCTGATAACTGCATAACAGTTCAGCATGAGAGCAGGTTTTAGGGAAATGTGGCTTTTAGACTTTATTTTTCAGAAGTTGATTTGCATTAAAATTGGATGCTTAAACTGCAATTTACATTACACAGGGTATGTGTAATACATCTACTTCTTTGAGCTGCATCTTACTTTTAGCTTTTGGTCTTTAGAGATGAAAGGAATCTGTTGCCTTGGTAGGAAGCGTGTGTGTGTGTGTGTGGAGGTGGTCTGGGTGCGGGGTGCACATTTCCAAAAAGGAGGCCTTGGCACATGCAGGAAGGGAGGCATGGGATTCCTGAATTAGAATGAGGGATTTCCAAAGTAAAGGAGGCACAAAGCCTGCTGAGAAGAGGCAGATGACGTGGGCCCAGAGAGGAACCACCACCACTTGCCACCTCCAGAATGTAGGCAGGGACACCAGGCCGTGCCAGGCTTGGCTCCCCTGTGTGCGAGCACGTGTGCACGTGTTATGTAAAGAACACGGGCAGATAGACCTAAGTCTGCATCTGGTAGTGGTCACTAGGCGTCCTTGGGAAGTTCCTTCACTGAGCCTGTTTCCAGTTCTCTAAATTGGAGCCAAGGACCCCTGTGGGAGGGAGAATCCCGCCCCAACCAAGATGTCCACACTCTAATCCCTGACACCTGTCAGGACGTTGCCTTACAGGGCAGAAGGGACTTTGCAGATGTGATGAAGATCACCAGTCAGTGACCTGAAGGCAGGAGATTACCCTGGCGTCTCAGGGTGGGCCCAGTCTAATTGCTTGAGCCCTTATAAGCAGAGAACTTTCTCAGGATGGAGGCAGAACAGAAGTAGGGGAAGGAGAAGCCAGGGGGATTTGAAGCATGAGAGGAACCGACCAATCCCATTGCTGGAAGGGGCGACAGGAAAGTAGCTGAGAAAGGCTCCAGGTCGACAGCTGCAAGGAAAAGGGAACCGCGGTCCTGCAACCCCGAGAACTGCGTTCTGCACACAACCTGAATGAGCTTGAAAGTACATTGTTTTTCAGAGCTTCCGTTCATAATCCTGTTGACGTCTTGACTTTAGCCTGTGAGATCCTAAGCAGAGGACCCAACCAAACCCAGCCACTAAGTTTGCAACCATTTGTTATGGCAGCAATGGAAAGCTACCACAGTCCCTGTATCACAGGGCTGCTGTGAAGATGAGTTAGATAACGCGAGCACTTCCGCTCCACCAGCATGGGCTGCCTTCCCCTTGAGGCTACGTGCGAGCAGCACTTGTCATAGCAGGATTGTGTCTGCCCTGCTGGAGTACTTTACTCCTGCTACTTTCTCTTTTGGTCTCAGCTTTTCCGTGATCAGTGGCTCAAGATTAGGGAAATGGCCACATCTGAGAAGAGCTTCCAAGTCTGATGAAAAGGCATCTTTTCCCCCTGATGGAGAGTAAAGCTCATGCAGCCCACCACCCCGTTCCTTGTCTGGGCTCCGTTACTGAAGCCTCGTGCCCAGCTGAGATCCCTGAGGCCATCCTCTCCTGCTATTCCTGAATGTCCCCACGACTAATCGAGTCCCATCGACACTGG